TTTACAGTCTGAACTATTGTTGCCCAAATGCGAGACCAAGAGGAGTCTTGTGCACTCAGCCTTGGTCTTGCGCAAGAGTCTTGCAGTTATTTATTAGCCTATTACTAAAGCGATATTACTGTAATTTTTCAGATAAGTTAAACCTAACTAAGCGCGAATGAAAAATTATAAGTGTGAAATGCCAATTCTGTACATATAGTAACTAAAATTGTCAAGTATTAATAACTATTTTGCTTAATTTTTAGTCAAAAATCACAAAAACGATTTTTTTTACCAGTCTTGATTTTGGTCATGCAACAGTCAGGCTGTTTTAGTCTTGGTCTTGCAAAGTGCAAGACCAAGAGCAATTTTGTGTTTCACTGAAGACTGAACCAATACAGTGTATCCACCATTGAATCATCCCAAACTAAATTTTACCCACTGTCCCAAAGTTACCCCATCTTATGGTACCGTTTTTTTGTAATTTGTATAAGTGAATATTTCAATGGCAATTCTATCTTCTACAAGCGAAATTACAAATACAAGGAAAAAACGTCTGCCAAGTATGGTCAGTACAGCTTCCTCGCCGTTTTCATTGGTTAAAATATATCTATATTAAAAGTTCTACAATTTTTCATATGAGAATAAAATCTCTGGGAGAAGCCGATTCGGATATACAGTTACCCTTCAACATTCGCGGGTTTGATATCCACGAATTCCGTTTATTAGCTAATGGCAAAATATGAATCATGCCGTATTCTATATTTAATTATTCTTAATTTAAAAAAAATACCAATGCATATTGAACATGGATTTCACTACTGTCAGAACAAAAGGTCGTAGTAAAAATTGATTGTTTTACAAGAGTCCAAAATAACTCATCATTTCTTTATGCTATATTTGTATAATTTCATATTTTATTGTTATCTACTATTTTCCATAGTAGCAGACTACTTATAAGCTTATATCAGTTTCAGCTATAAAATGTCACCTTTAGCACAAACAGATTACAAAATGTCTCCTTTAGCACAAATGGAATAAAAGTTTAAAATTTTTACATACGACCTTTTGCACTAATAGTAGTGATATAGACTTAATTGGTATGTTTTCACTCGTAAAATGGATGGAACTAGAAAATCCATAGGAAAACTTGTTGTTTGTTAGGAGTTACTAAGACCAATACTTTTCTTCAGTCAGAACAAAATGCATTAAGATAGGGAATATAAAAGTATGGGTGAAGTTCACAAAACTTCGATATTTAAGGAGGACATTGCGACCAAGACGAACTTGTTGAACTTCAATGGAAATAAACACAATCGCAAATAAGACTTTTTTTTTTACAAACTGAGAGTAAAAATTACTTTAAATATACTGAAAATGACTCGAAATTTAAGTAATGGCAGTAATTGCTATGCCAGTAACGTTTGGAATCGACCAAACAATGCAGTCTCTATTAATTTTTTGAATAAAACCTAAAATTTTATAACCCTATAACAATATTGTAATAAACTAACTCTCACTCTGTTCTCCGAATTTCCTCAAAGTTTGGGTCAAATCAAATGCGTCGTTTTCAAACTCTATAGTTACATTAATGCCTATGCATATCAAATAACACATTTCCTAGGGTAAATTTTATTGAATTCTGTGCGTTGATTTCTCTTACATATGCGCAATCGTGTTTTCCTTGATACATCTATATCTTTAAAACCGCAATTTCGATTTGACTCAAATTTGAAGGGAATTTAGAGATTGGTAAACATAAAATGAAATAGGCATCAATATTATCAAATTCTACTACTACTATTACAAAAAATTTCCGCTTTCAGAACAGGAAATGTGTTATTTGATATGCATAGGCATTAATGTAACTATAGAGTTTGAAAACGACGCATTTGATTTGACCCAAACTTTGAGGAAATTCGGAGAACAGAGTGAGAGTTAGTTTATTACAATATTGTTATAGGGTTATAAAATTTTAGGTTTTATTCAAAAAATTAATAGAGACTGCATTGTTTGGTCGATTCCAAACGTTACTGGCATAGCAATTACTGCCATTACTTAAATTTCGAGTCATTTTCAGTATATTTAAAGTAATTTTTACTCTCAGTTTGTAAAAAAAAAAGTCTTATTTGCGATTGTGTTTATTTCCATTGAAGTTCAACAAGTTCGTCTTGGTCGCAATGTCCTCCTTAAATATCGAAGTTTTGTGAACTTCACCCATACTTTTATATTCCCTATCTTAATGCATTTTGTTCTGACTGAAGAAAAGTATTGGTCTTAGTAACTCCTAACAAACAACAAGTTTTCCTATGGATTTTCTAGTTCCATCCATTTTACGAGTGAAAACATACCAATTAAGTCTATATCACTACTATTAGTGCAAAAGGTCGTATGTAAAAATTTTAAACTTTTATTCCATTTGTGCTAAAGGAGACATTTTGTAATCTGTTTGTGCTAAAGGTGACATTTTATAGCTGAAACTGATATAAGCTTATAAGTAGTCTGCTACTATGGAAAATAGTAGATAACAATAAAATATGAAATTATACAAATATAGCATAAAGAAATGATGAGTTATTTTGGACTCTTGTAAAACAATCAATTTTTACTACGACCTTTTGTTCTGACAGTAGTGAAATCCATGTTCAATATGCATTGGTATTTTTTTTAAATTAAGAATAATTAAATATAGAATACGGCATGATTCATATTTTGCCATTAGCTAATAAACGGAATTCGTGGATATCAAACCCGCGAATGTTGAAGGGTAACTGTATATCCGAATCGGCTTCTCCCAGAGATTTTATTCTCATATGAAAAATTGTAGAACTTTTAATATAGATATATTTTAACCAATGAAAACGGCGAGGAAGCTGTACTGACCATACTTGGCAGACGTTTTTTCCTTGTATTTGTAATTTCGCTTGTAGAAGATAGAATTGCCATTGAAATATTCACTTATACAAATTACAAAAAAACGGTACCATAAGATGGGGTAACTTTGGGACAGTGGGTAAAATTTAGTTTGGGATGATTCAATGGTGGATACACTGTATTGGTTCAGTCTTCAGTGAAACACAAAATTGCTCTTGGTCTTGCACTTTGCAAGACCAAGACTAAAACAGCCTGACTGTTGCATGACCAAAATCAAGACTGGTAAAAAAAATCGTTTTTGTGATTTTTGACTAAAAATTAAGCAAAATAGTTATTAATACTTGACAATTTTAGTTACTATATGTACAGAATTGGCATTTCACACTTATAATTTTTCATTCGCGCTTAGTTAGGTTTAACTTATCTGAAAAATTACAGTAATATCGCTTTAGTAATAGGCTAATAAATAACTGCAAGACTCTTGCGCAAGACCAAGGCTGAGTGCACAAGACTCCTCTTGGTCTCGCATTTGGGCAACAATAGTTCAGACTGTAAAAATGTGCTTTGTGTAGTCACGTACTGCGCTACTACCTTGCGGAAGTTTGAGATACACTACTAGTTCATTACACTCGTTATGCAGTTAAGTTTTATTTATTTCAATTACTTTTTTTCAAAATTCTTGTTTTCATGAAACTTTCGCTTGCGCCTCAAGAGTAGTGTGCCGCTAGGTAGTAGCGCAGTACATGCGCTGCCCGTTCTGACTGAACCAACATTGTGCATTTACCACGGAATCACCACAAACTAAATTTTACCCGCTATCCCAAAGTTACCACCCAGTCCCGAAGCAATATACAAATAAAGTATTCATCGTAAGTTTTTTCTATCTGTCTTTCTGTTAAGTATGTTCTATATATAAATTTCCAGAGATTCTATGAGAATACTATGGGCAGGTTTTATCTAATTCGTTACAGTTGTTTTGGTATTGCTGAGTTTTGAGAACCATCCTCGAATGAGTTCTGATTTTGGTAATAAGTCTCAGAGACAAGAAGGTGAACGGCAGAAGAGGAGATATACTATTTGTTCTAATAGAACTAGTAATCCTGGTATTCTAAGTTTATCGAAACCTCAAATTTTGAAGATTTGTTTATTTTGTTGATCCATTTCAAAATTACAGAATCATATTGAAGATAATAAACGATAGTGTGAATATATTCCGCATCATGAATTCGGCCATTTTACACAACATTGACGATTTTTCTCTCTCTTTTTTCTATGATTCTAACAATGTGGAAATATTTATGAACAGTAAAGTACATCATAATATAAACACAGTTAATTATTAATAAAAGAATTTTCAGCCATAAACATAGCGAAACTAGAATAAACATCGAAGTTGAGTAAAGTTGTCTCCGGTGGGGAAAGTGCTGAGTCCACAAGTGCCTGCCTTCTAGATAGCTTTTGAAAAATAATGAGGTATAAAAATAAAATAAACAAAAACTTATAATTCTTCAGCCAGTCGGATACTGTATAATAATAATTAGTATTAAACATTATTTTTTTTTTGCTTTGATGTTTGGATGGTAACTAACATTAGGATATGCTAGATTTCCCCAGGCATCTACCAGCACTTTTTTTATTCAGAAAAATAAGTTTGCTACACCGATAAGTACAAAGACTAGTGCTGCCCAGAAATGGCACATTGCCAAGCAAGAACAAGTGTTTCTGACACTATGTTTTTTTTACCCATTATATCCTTCAGTTATTTATTTATTTTTATTTTGGTTAGTGAAAACATCCACCCCTTGTGAGTGTCAGTTGATATCTTTAAATCAATCTTTATCAAGTTATAACAAGTCACTACAGTAAATGGCTCGTTTAAAGATAACAATGAAATTAGTATAAATAGCGTTTGAGACTAAAGGAAAAGCATAATATAGCCGGCTACAGTCAGAGAGCCATCCTCGTTTAGAAAAGGTAAGGGCTATAAGTATATACATAATATTGAAAAGCTAATCCTAATAAGAAGTGAACATTTTCAATAATTTCAAGTTTAAGTGTAAATCAAATAGAATTCTATAAGCATAGATCCAAATTTTGTAACTTCTTTCTATAAATGGTAATTTTGAATTTTTTTTTTCAGTTTCAAGATGAAAATAACATCAATATTTTTTCTCACATTATTGCTGGCGTTGTCGGCGTTTTCCTTGCCTTTTGACCAAAATGAGGACGATGAATGGAACGCTTACAAGGTAACTTGTGTAGCTCAACAGTTATCATTACTGCCACAACAAATAACAGCCTCATAAAATTTTCAACTGCATTACCTAACTATAAATTTAACTGATTTTTTAGAGTAAATATGGGAAAAATTACACAACAAAGGAGGAAGACCAGTTAAGGAAAAATATATATTTTGATAATAAGCTCCGCATCGTAAAACATAATGCTTTGCATGCTAACGGTATTAAGACATACAAACTAGGAATAAATAAATTTGCAGATTTGGTAAGTTGATTTTTTTAACATAATATTATCCAATCATTATTTCATTGATAGCCTCCTGACTGGCATTTGCTTCATATTTCATAGACTTCTACAGAGTTCAGAAAGTTTATGAAGGGTTACAAAGGAGAGAAAAAAGTAATAGGTGAGCTTTACACTCCCCCATCAAACGAAAATTTGCCAAGCAGTGTGGATTGGAGACAAAAAGGTGCAGTCACACCTATCAAGAATCAAGGACAGTGTGGTTCCTGTTGGGCGTTCTCTACTGTAAGTTTATACACTAGATAAATTTAATTATATGCGTACTACCTGAATACCTAGCATTTATTAATAATTATATATGTCCATTTTGTTACTCAAAGACTGGCTCCATCGAAGGTCAACATTTCTTGAAAACTGGAAAACTTGTATCCCTTAGTGAACAGAACTTGATGGATTGCTCCACAGCAGAAGGAAACGAATCATGTGGTGGCGGCTGGATGGATCAGGCTTTTGAATATGTTAAGAAAAATAATGGAATCGACACTGAAAAAACCTATCCCTACAAAGCAGAGGTACTTATACATTCCTATTATTGCAGTTTTTTCAATTTTAAAGTATATACGCTAAAGTTAACTTTATGATTCTTCAGGACAGCTCAACGTGTAAATTTAATAAGGCGAATGTTGGAGCCACGATCACTGGATACAAAGATATTGAGAGTGGCAGTGAGTCAGCTCTACAATCAGCAGTAGCCAACGTTGGACCAATATCTGTGGCAATTGATGCCAGCTCCTTTGATTTCCAGCTCTACTCCTCAGGCAAGGATATTAATATACTATCTGACACGCGTGACTAACTATATAGATCAACGTCGTGTCACAACGAATAAAAAAGAAACTAGTTTGAAAATATGTTAATGCTAATTGTGTTACTTTTTTTGACAGGAGTCTACTATGAGGAAGATTGCAGTTCTGAAGATCTGGATCATGGTGTCCTCGCAGTTGGTTACGGTTCCGATAACGGCAAAGACTACTGGCTGGTGAAGAACTCCTGGGGTGAAGATTGGGGTATCGATGGCTACATCAAAATGACAAGAAACAAGAAAAACAACTGTGGCATTGCTACAAAGGCTAGCTACCCATTGGTCTAATAAAATTCTTCATTGTGTTTTATAAAATAAAAACGAATATAATAAATTTAAATGTATTTGTTTATCTATCATAACTTGTAATCTTAATGTATACAATTCATCACAAGTATAAACTTCGAATAGTCTGTGACTATTAGACTGAAAATGAAACTATATTCGTTGACTAAATTTAATAAAACATATTAATTTTCAAAAATTCCTAAATCCTAATAATAAGGCTTAGCGAACCCGAAGGTTCGATGAAGATAATAACAATCGATGTCCACATTCTTCCATCCACAGAGCTCCGTCTAAACCCAACCCCGCCAAATCAGCCTTAACGCAATCTACCCACCTACGCTTTGGTCTTCCCCTCGGACGCCAGTAATAATAATTTGGTCTTGCCAGTCGGTACAGCGCATATTAACTTATTAGGATTTCTTTCGTTACTGAGCCCATCGATTTTACATGCCCATTTTATTTGCCTCAACTTAATCACCTCAATTATATTAACCGGCTACCGTTCACGCAATTCAGCGTTGTGTAACAGCATAAATTCTCCGGTTGACTCGTCCTTTTTCGGTCTGAATATTTTGCGGAATACTTTATTTTCAAAAACTTTAAGCCGTTGTTCATCCCTTAACGTAAGTGGCCACGTTTAGCATCCATAAAGAACTGTAGGTAGGATAATCGTTTTGTAAGTAACAGTAAAAATTATACAGTCGCAATAGTAATTAGATTTTTTTTTAATTAATTGCTTTCGGACTAAGATAACTTCTTCAAAGTTAGAATCTTCACCTCGAGCCTTGAACTTCGATCTAAAGGCTGTAAGATTCGAGCCCTTTCGGCTGTAGGTTTTTTTTTTTACCAAGCTAGGGCGATAAATACTGGGCGTGTGATAACTACGAGGGCTAATAGGCTCCGGCACCAGGATTTGAAATCGTAATACTCAAGTTCTAAGGTTGCCAGAAAATGCTTTAGCTAGCTCTGCCCCTTTATGATTCTGTGCACTTTATATTTTAGTTTTGCTAAGCGGAAATAAATTTTAACGTTTCCAGAATATATTTAATGTATTTGTCGATGCAAACATACACTTCCCATTAAATAATGTAAAAGAACAAATTATTAATTCCTTCTTTTTAAAGTAATTAAATTTCATCCCACTCAATTGCCTTCTACAAATTTGTATAAAGTTGTTAATTTTGCCAAAATTTTCAGCTTTCCATCAATATATTATGCGTCTATATTACTGCAATAATTTCCGGAACTTTGTTTTCAAACTATTTTTTTTCCCCATCAGCTCCTTAATTATCAAATTATTTCATAGTTGATATTTATTCAACTATGGCGCCCTTTGAGTTAATGCTGAAACTGGATATACGGAAGACAATGCCCGCTTGTCTTTGTGTTGAGTACTTAGGATAAAATCATATCTGCCGCTCTTCCAAGTATGCGGCTCCCTTAGATATTTTTTTATATACACGCAAACCTCGGTGTGCCTTTTTCCCCTTTATTTCATGATTTAAATGTTGTCTTAAAATTGAAAATCGATGTGCTTCCCCTCCCTCCCTCTCCCCCAAAATTATGGCGGCTCAACTTGCGCCATACAACCCCTCTGTGAGCACCCCTGTGGTACAACATGAGATAGATTATTTAAAAAAAAAAAAAAGAGAAAATACGCTGCCTTGAGGAACACCAGCCTCAACTGAGTAACAGTCGGAGAATTCGGTACCACTGCGGAAGATATGATACCAAGTCGGAGAGATATGATCGGAGTACTAAGGAGGTATAAGGACTGTGGTAGGTGGTAGCAATCCGGCGTATCGTACCCGGTCAAAAACTTCCGCTATGTCCAGCATCGTATGGTAAATTAATGTATTGGCACTCGAATACTTCACCAAGTTTTAAATATTCATAGACACTAATAACCGATGTATGTTTTATGAAGATATACCTGATTATCAGTCCCTTAAGACGGACAGAGTTATTTGGGTAGTCGGGTAAAATTGAATGGCCTTTAATATCAGTGAAGTCTCATACCCCTATTGAAATAGACTTGAGAGGGCTTAAATACCGAATTTTAAAAATAGTTTCCTCTGAAGTCTCTTTAATTCTTTTTTAATTGGAAATAATTAAGAAATCTCATTGTTACTAATAATAGAAATTGAATAAATATCAACTATGAAATAATTTGATAATTAAGGAGCTGATGGGGAAAAAAAATAGTTTGAAAACAAAGTTCCGGAAATTATTGCAGTAATATAGACGCATAATATATTGATGGAAAGCTGAAAATTTTGGCAAAATTAACAACTTTATACAAATTTGTAGAAGGCAATTGAGTGGGATGAAATTTAATTACTTTAAAAAGAAGGAATTAATAATTTGTTCTTTTACATTATTTAATGGGAAGTGTATGTTTGCATCGACAAATACATTAAATATATTCTGGAAACGTTAAAATTTATTTCCGCTTAGCAAAACTAAAATATAAAGTGCACAGAATCATAAAGGGGCAGAGCTAGCTAAAGCATTTTCTGGCAACCTTAGAACTTGAGTATTACGATTTCAAATCCTGGTGCCGGAGCCTATTAGCCCTCGTAGTTATCACACGCCCAGTATTTATCGCCCTAGCTTGGTAAAAAAAAAAACCTACAGCCGAAAGGGCTCGAATCTTACAGCCTTTAGATCGAAGTTCAAGGCTCGAGGTGAAGATTCTAACTTTGAAGAAGTTATCTTAGTCCGAAAGCAATTAATTAAAAAAAAATCTAATTACTATTGCGACTGTATAATTTTTACTGTTACTTACAAAACGATTATCCTACCTACAGTTCTTTATGGATGCTAAACGTGGCCACTTACGTTAAGGGATGAACAACGGCTTAAAGTTTTTGAAAATAAAGTATTCCGCAAAATATTCAGACCGAAAAAGGACGAGTCAACCGGAGAATTTATGCTGTTACACAACGCTGAATTGCGTGAACGGTAGCCGGTTAATATAATTGAGGTGATTAAGTTGAGGCAAATAAAATGGGCATGTAAAATCGATGGGCTCAGTAACGAAAGAAATCCTAATAAGTTAATATGCGCTGTACCGACTGGCAAGACCAAATTATTATTACTGGCGTCCGAGGGGAAGACCAAAGCGTAGGTGGGTAGATTGCGTTAAGGCTGATTTGGCGGGGTTGGGTTTAGACGGAGCTCTGTGGATGGAAGAATGTGGACATCGATTGTTATTATCTTCATCGAACCTTCGGGTTCGCTAAGCCTTATTATTAGGATTTAGGAATTTTTGAAAATTAATATGTTTTATTAAATTTAGTCAACGAATATAGTTTCATTTTCAGTCTAATAGTCACAGACTATTCGAAGTTTATACTTGTGATGAATTGTATACATTAAGATTACAAGTTATGATAGATAAACAAATACATTTAAATTTATTATATTCGTTTTTATTTTATAAAACACAATGAAGAATTTTATTAGACCAATGGGTAGCTAGCCTTTGTAGCAATGCCACAGTTGTTTTTCTTGTTTCTTGTCATTTTGATGTAGCCATCGATACCCCAATCTTCACCCCAGGAGTTCTTCACCAGCCAGTAGTCTTTGCCGTTATCGGAACCGTAACCAACTGCGAGGACACCATGATCCAGATCTTCAGAACTGCAATCTTCCTCATAGTAGACTCCTGTCAAAAAAAGTAACACAATTAGCATTAACATATTTTCAAACTAGTTTCTTTTTTATTCGTTGTGACACGACGTTGATCTATATAGTTAGTCACGCGTGTCAGATAGTATATTAATATCCTTGCCTGAGGAGTAGAGCTGGAAATCAAAGGAGCTGGCATCAATTGCCACAGATATTGGTCCAACGTTGGCTACTGCTGATTGTAGAGCTGACTCACTGCCACTCTCAATATCTTTGTATCCAGTGATCGTGGCTCCAACATTCGCCTTATTAAATTTACACGTTGAGCTGTCCTGAAGAATCATAAAGTTAACTTTAGCGTATATACTTTAAAATTGAAAAAACTGCAATAATAGGAATGTATAAGTACCTCTGCTTTGTAGGGATAGGTTTTTTCAGTGTCGATTCCATTATTTTTCTTAACATATTCAAAAGCCTGATCCATCCAGCCGCCACCACATGATTCGTTTCCTTCTGCTGTGGAGCAATCCATCAAGTTCTGTTCACTAAGGGATACAAGTTTTCCAGTTTTCAAGAAATGTTGACCTTCGATGGAGCCAGTCTTTGAGTAACAAAATGGACATATATAATTATTAATAAATGCTAGGTATTCAGGTAGTACGCATATAATTAAATTTATCTAGTGTATAAACTTACAGTAGAGAACGCCCAACAGGAACCACACTGTCCTTGATTCTTGATAGGTGTGACTGCACCTTTTTGTCTCCAATCCACACTGCTTGGCAAATTTTCGTTTGATGGGGGAGTGTAAAGCTCACCTATTACTTTTTTCTCTCCTTTGTAACCCTTCATAAACTTTCTGAACTCTGTAGAAGTCTATGAAATATGAAGCAAATGCCAGTCAGGAGGCTATCAATGAAATAATGATTGGATAATATTATGTTAAAAAAATCAACTTACCAAATCTGCAAATTTATTTATTCCTAGTTTGTATGTCTTAATACCGTTAGCATGCAAAGCATTATGTTTTACGATGCGGAGCTTATTATCAAAATATATATTTTTCCTTAACTGGTCTTCCTCCTTTGTTGTGTAATTTTTCCCATATTTACTCTAAAAAATCAGTTAAATTTATAGTTAGGTAATGCAGTTGAAAATTTTATGAGGCTGTTATTTGTTGTGGCAGTAATGATAACTGTTGAGCTACACAAGTTACCTTGTAAGCGTTCCATTCATCGTCCTCATTTTGGTCAAAAGGCAAGGAAAACGCCGACAACGCCAGCAATAATGTGAGAAAAAATATTGATGTTATTTTCATCTTGAAACTGAAAAAAAAAAATTCAAAATTACCATTTATAGAAAGAAGTTACAAAATTTGGATCTATGCTTATAGAATTCTATTTGATTTATACTTAAACTTGAAATTATTGAAAATGTTCACTTCTTATTAGGATTAGCCTTCAACATTATGTACATATATATAATTGCCTACAATTATCAGATCATATAGCTACTCATAGCCCTTACCTTTTCTAAATTCAAAGATGTCTCTCTGACTGTAGCTGGCTATATTATGCTTTTCATTTATTCTCAGACGCTATTTATACTAAGTTTCTTGTCATCTTCAATACATCCATTTAATGTAGTGACTTGTTAAAACTTGATAAAGATTGATTATATAGATATCAACTGATACTCACAGGGTGGATGTTTTCATTTAATAATTACGCAACAGTAACGTTTAAAATTAGTGTCAGGCACTTGTTCTTGTCTTAAGCAATGCTGCCTTTCTGGGCAACACTAGTTTTTATACTTATCGGTGTAGCTAACTTATTTTTCTTAATAAAAAAAGTGCTGGTAGATGCCTGGGGAAATCTAGCATATCCTAATGATAATTACCATCCAACATCAAAGCAAAAAAAAAAATTATGTTTAATACTAATTATTATTACTGGCTGAAGAATTATAAGTTATAAGAGTGTGTGTGTGTGTGTGAGAGAGAGAGAGAGAGAGAGAGAGAGAGAGAGAGAGAGAGAGAGAGAGAGGGGGGGGGGGGGGGGGGTAAGAGAGAGTGAGAGAGAGAGAGAGAGAGAGAGAGAGGGGGGGGAGGGGGGGGGAGGGAGGAGAGAGAGAGAGAGAGAGAGAGAGAGAGAGAGAGAGAGAGAGAGAGAGAGAGAGAGAGAGAGAGAGAGAGAGAGAGAGAGAGAGAGAGAGAGAGAGAGAGAGAGAGAGAGGGAGGGGGAGAGAGAGAGAGAGAGAGAGAGAGAGAGAGAGGGAGGGGGGGAAGAGAGAGAGAGAGAGAGAGAGAGAGAGAGAGAGAGAGAGAGAGAGAGAGAGAGAGAGAGAGAGAGAGAGAGAGAGAGAGAGAGAGAGAGAGAGAGAGAGAGAGAGAGAATATTTATTAAGGAAATTGTGGGTGCCTTCAAAACTTTTTATTTGTAGATATTTATATCTAATTGTCTAAATTTGGGAATGTCTCACATTATAATTTTGTTTCTGTATCATTTTACGTAATTTCAATAAGTTAGTAAAATGATTTCCTCGATTAAACATTTTATTATTAACTTTGGTGGCTGTAATTAGTCAGTGAGATCTTATAGAAGTTTTGAAACAATTTGAGCATGACTAGTGGAAAAGGAAGTATTTTATAGTTTAGGTTTCTCGATGATAATTGTTTTGAAAATACATTATGTGATATTAAAATATATTGTTAATCCTTTTTTTTTTAAACAATTGATTATGAAATTTACAACTGTATTACAATATAAATACATTGAGTAAATGTGTACATATATAATCACACGAAAACGCTTGTTGATAAACAACCCATTGGTAGCACTCTAATAATATTTCTACTAAGGAGTACACGAGGCCATTTTCTTTTCGGTGGGATATCAGAAATCGAAGAGGAAGCTTAGAAACGATAGGATTCGGATGGTTATGAAGTATATTATGGAAGAACAGGATTGGGCTGAATCGGAAACATTTGGAATATATGTCTTTATGGATTATTTTATTGGTGACAAAGTAAGAAACATTGAGGATTTTACGAAGGATTTTGGATTGTAAGGATTACATACGAGTGGAATTCGGTGTTTTAGTGGAGCTCCGACCATAGCTCCACTAATAGGCACTCATAGCTGAACCTCGTAAGTCCAATTAGGTCTTATTATAGCCATGTATATGAGTATTTTGTAATTAATTGGAAGTTTAGAGCCTTTGTCAAGTAAGTGAGGAGTAAGCGAAAACGTCGAGCAGTTTCTTGTCGTTTCGTTCTTGTATGAGGATTTGAAGTGAGACGTTTGTCCAGCTGGAGTCCTACGTATAAGATTTGTTCAACAGGGATAAGTGGGATGTTATTAAAGGATACTGTAGGACTGGAAACATAGATATAATACGAAGGGTATAGGTAATTTGATGGGATTTACTTACATTTATTTTAATCCTCCAGTTTCGACACCGTTCTTCAAGATTTTTGACGTATTATAGAAGATTCTGGGACGCAATTAGTGGATCGTTATTAACTGGTAGGATACATGTGCCATCGACATAAGTGGTGATAACAGTGTTAGGTTGAATAGAGCTGTATAAACTGTGTGCAGAAATGTGTGGAGGAAGGTAGTACCAAGGATACTATCTTGAGGAACACCAGCAGATTAAGAAAAGAAGGATGAATAGGTGTTATGATTTACTTTGAAGTGTCTATGAGTAAGGTAGGAACTGATGATGAGAAAGTATGTAGGGGAGAGGAATCTTCGGAGTTTGTAAAGCAATCCTCGGTGTCAGACTCGATCAAAAGACTCCAGTGCAATACATTCCACGCTCCAATGTAGAGAAGCGTCTGCCACACGATGGCTTCGCTGGAAAGTGGAATGGGAAGAACGAAATCCAAATTGGTGATCAGGGATTATGTGGTTAAAATTTAGGATGGTATATAGGTGTTTTAAGATCAGCTTTTCCAGGATTTTGCCCATAATGTGTAAAAGAGGGATAGGACAGTAAGCCGGGGTGTTCTGATGGTTTTTTGGGTATATGAATCTTTTTGACAATGGCATATATGAAATAAAATAAGTAATAGGATGGTTTTTCGAGGAAGTTTTATAAGAATATGGGATGTGATTAGATCGTGGCCAGGAGCATTGCGTTAGGGTAATCCGTGAATAATATTGGATATTTCTGAAAAATAAAGTATTTTAGGAGGAGGCATTTCGAGTGGAATATCCAATTCTACATTAATATATTCAAGGTTATTTGGATTAAGGATATCAGGATGTGGATTAATGGTTTTGAAAAGGTGGTGAGCAAAAATTTGGGATTTTTCTTCGTCGGATTTGGACAAGGTCTGAGCTTCGGTAAGAAGTGGATGCTTACAGTCTTTAAATTTTAGAAGCCTTTTAGTAGTTGCCCATAGTTATTTGTCAGTAGGTATAAGTTTTCAGATAAATTTAGTAAATGTTGAATTTTGTATTTTCTAATTTCTGATTTTAGTTTGTTAGACAGTTGGGTGTAATGAATTTTATCTGTTGGATATGTAGTTCTATGCCACTTCGGTCTTGCCCTGCGTTTTCCTCTTAATAAGATACGAATATGCTGAGGCAAGTTAGTCTGTTGTGAATTTTCAATCTTATTGGTATAGGTGTGTTTATTAATGCTACCTGTTATTGATACTGTACGTTTGTCTATGGCATCATCAATATCTTGATTTGTGTATAGCGGAATTTTCAAGTCTAATTTATTTTTCAAATCATCACGAAATCTCTCCCAGTTAACTCTTCCTGTAACCAATGTAGGATGTAAGGGCTTAGGAGCAAATTTTGTGTCCAGTAAAAGGAGAACTGGATAATGGTCTGAAGAAAGGTCATCAAAGATTTGATTATGGTTTCGAAAGAAGAAATCTGGAAGATAAATATATCCAGGACATCGAGAAGTTTTTTGAGGAATGATGGCCAATAAGTAGGATTCCTGGGCGAGAGGATAGAAAAGTTGTTGGAACAATAAATGCGTGAAAGGGTGTTACTACGGGGTTAATACTTTAAAAACTAAATTTGTTACAATTATTTAATTAAATAAAAAAGGTTTTGCTTTAACAATTCAACTACCCAGATAAATCTATCTTAAGGAACAGAAAATGATGTATCTCAACGGTAAAAATAAGTGGGCTCTTAGTTGTCCATTAATACTGAAACTTTTTTTTGGTCCCCACTTCCTCTCCTTTTAAGCTATATGGGGGTTCCTGGGCCAGGAGCTGAGGGTGAAAGTTTAATGGCTGAAAAGGTCCGCGGGACGCGAATTCGTAATTATTTTATCTAAATATAATCCACCAGGTTGCCGCTCGGCCACTCCGCTCCTCATGAATACTGAAACTTGAAGAATATATCTATGTATGTCAACATTTAGAAAGCTCCTGGAATTGTATGTTATGTAAAAAAAAAACAGGTAAATTAATGAAGCTTCAGAAGAATTTCGAGTTTGTTAGCGTGTGGAAAGAACCCGACTACTTCGTCAAGTTTCGATATTCATAGACACTAATGTAGATATACATCATTGTCATCTTTTAATAGCCGCATAACAGACTACACAAAGAAAGTGAGAAAAAATAACTTTCTGGGGATACCAATTAAAATTCACAAATTGCACTTAACACACCATTCATAGGTGCCACAGATATATAGTGATTGAAAAAAGTATTTGCACAACACATTTTTATGAATAAAGTAGTTCAAGGAAACAAAAAACTTCGCTTTCCTTTGCAAAAATGAAAAGTAAATTTATTAAAAACTGAAAAAACCTTTTTAAAAAAAAATAAAAACACTTCATAATTAAAACAATAAAAGTGCTTGGAAAAAACTATTTCCACACTTCCAGATTTACAAGTTTATTTTAATTTTAATAGTTTTAATAATTTGTAAATAGGCCATTTGCGTCAATAATTGCTTGTAGACGTCTGGGCATTAAATGCACTAGGTTTTTAATTAAATCTACGTTTATTTGTTCCCATTCTTGAACAAGAAGTTGTTTAAGGTGATGTCCAATAGTGTATGGTGTTTTCTTACATTTTGGTTATAGGTGTGCCATAAATTTTCAATGATATTTATATCTGGTGACTGAGGAGTGTGGAGCTGTCTTGGAACACTAAATATTAACCACTCCTTTTATTCTCCTCGCAGTATGTTTTGGATCGTTGTCCTGCTGGAAATAGTACTGATCCTGCATTCCCATTTTTTCAGCACTAACGCGCAAATTTTTTTTTTTTCGAGCTATATTTGTTTATTTAGAAATATTACATTCTGTCACATCAAGGACATTTATAATAGTGTTCAGAGAA